ACAAGTGCATCGCTACTAGTAACAAGTGCCTTACTAGTAGTAACAAGGGCATCGCTATTCGAAACAAGGGCATCGCTACTAGGAACAAGTGCTATCCCATACCAAAAGCATGTTCGCTCGAAACGACTTGACCACTTGAAAGCCATCTGATCAGCAGTAGCATCAACAGTCACAAAGGACAAGACAACAGCTACGAAACACTCAACACAAGCAACAAGCCAGCTCCTTGACAACCTTGATGCATCTCCTGAGGTCTCCTAGACTCCTAGCTGTAGCAATATCAGAGCTCAGGCATCTTCAAGCATCAATAGACTTTAGCCATCAGACCAGGCCTACCACGCTTCCGCCATCCAAGGCCGAAGCGGCTGAAGCCTTGGTCATCGCCGCGCTTCGCGTTTGTTTGCGCCACTGGGTGGCCACGGGTGGGCCGCTCCTCTCCCCCCGCGCCTGGCGCGCGGTGAGCTGGACGGTGACGCCCAGTCACCCTAGGCGGCCAAAGGTGAGGACACAGATGGAAGAGGGCGTGAGCAGTTTAGTTTGGAGGTGGAAGTTGAATAGAAGGGAAATGGGGGGAAGATATGATCCTGAAGGGGGATATAGTTGGATAGAAGGGAATATATACATATATAATATGTTTTAAGGATTGTGTATGAGTGGACCGGGCAGGCTAATGATCATGTGGAACTGCTTACTGTAACTCAACTCTAGCTGCAACCAACACATCAAAACACAAACAGCTTGCTTTCTTTGATCATGGTGACTAGCATGTGAAACAAGTGCCAATGGGGAGGCAGGTCGGCAGGCTTTATACTTCTGTAAACCTAGGTAGGTCAAGACATGCCATAGGATAAGCCGTAGCTCCCTGCGCGAGCTCGCGAGTGCTACTCGAGCCAGGGCCTTCCTTTCATTGCCTCCTTTCCAGGATTCCAAGCAACTTGGTATCATGCTGGAGCGAGCCTGTCGTCACTCCTGGCGGCAGAACCATGATTTCTCCAGTGCATGGTCTTCTTTGCTTTTCCCCTGAGAACTCGATTGAAGCGAAGCAACTGCGAAGCGGTACAAGGTGTCATGGTTTGTGTTCAGCGGCGTTTCCAAGTGAAAAAATAACACATCCTTGAGACAAGCCAATGCACAGCTAGAATTGCTGCCGACCCCTTTGCATGACCTTTGCACTGCAGCTTGGTGTGGCTTCCATGTTCCCAAAGTCCTAACCCCACGGCATATTCTTTGAACATCTTTGAACATCTGGTTTACGAAGCTCCAGTTGCTGGGCCCTTTCCGTGATTGAAACCCCAACACAAAGAAAGACCCGAACTTTCGAAGACAACACCTTTCGTCTACTTGGAGGGTCTGAGACCTCCTCGTCGGCTCCGTCGTCCTCCCAGGCCGCCTTGGACCGGGCCTGTGCTCGAGAAGCTCGGCTGAACGAGCAACTGCACGCAGCGGTGCAGCGCATCGATCTGGAAGCGGCAGAGCAAGCAGCGCCTTGAACCGAACGATGTAGGTCAGGTGGGTCCCGACACGTCGCGACTGACCAGTCCTGGTGAAGAGAGAAAGATCGCCTCGGACCCACCTATAGCGCCTCACAGACAACTTCAGAAGAGTTCGGGAGACCATGGGCCATGGGCCTGTTACCAGCTGGTTCCTCGGGTGAATTGGGGGCGGCATTCAGGTTGCCATTTCATGGAACAAAAGCTATGCCAGGCCCAAGATTTGTGGCATGAATGAGTGTGAATGCTTGGGCAGCCAAGGTGAGCTTTGGCGCAGACGTGAACAGCAAGAACAAACAGAGTGTTTTGCTTGCATTAGAAGGCACGGTTGCTGATGCTAGCTATGCCCCCTTTTTACGGGAGGTCAAAGGGAGAAAGGGGCCACTGGGTCGAAAGGTTGTTTAGGCGATGTTGGAGGTGGAGCAGGTGGGCCCGCCAATCACTGGTTGGGACCGCATGGAAGTGGATGGCATGATGGCATGGGTCTGACAGGATAACCATGCCATCCGAACACCAAACAGGTGGGTCTTTCCACTTCCATGGTGATGTTGTTCCACTTCCATGGTGATCCCCATTGCCACGTCCTTTTCCGCCCCAATCCAATGCGACCGGATGACGAGCGCACCCGTGTGACACAGGACCACAGGTATGGCACCAGTACTGGCACCTGTTTCACCCGTATGCGCTCACCGGGCTACAGGTTGGACCTCCCTCCACATCGCTGCGAGCAAAGGCACTTGAGGGGTCCGATGAGTGGGGGGTAAGGTGATTATGTTCAAAGAGTAGTCAAAATCCCTGGACCTGCAGGATAATCTTCCCGTCCAACCATCCACCATTTTGTGGGTGGCTAGCACTTCAAGCTGTGGTATGTGTCACAGTCCAAAAACGGCTTGAGCATTCTGGAGCGTGGTGTTCTTTTCCTGGGCCGCTCGCCTCGGACGCCCCGCTTCGCCTCCCGCCCCTGCAGCTCGGCCGCCAGGCAGCGCCCAGATGTGCCGCTTGCTGCTCGACGCCGGGGCCGACCCCGCAGCGCGCTGCACCGTGGAGGTGAGACGGGGTTTCACATGCAACTAGTTACAGTAATTTTAATTGGTTAACGATGTTAACGTATGTTAACACCGACCCGAGATGGCGATGGAGAGAGAGAGAGAGGGTTGAATCCCAGCAGCGTTGGAAGATTAAGTTGGCCTGCAAGATCAGAAAGCCGATATGCCCAAGTAATTATGCTCAGGTGACAAACCCTACTGCGAGCACAGTTTACACAGAGAGATGCTCACAAAGTGGCGAATGTATGGCAGATGACATCCCCACGCAGAACTAGAAAGCTGCCTAAGAACACATCGTTTGAAACGTTGCGGAAGGTCACAGAATCCATCAGAATCCACAGACCAGTTCCTGATTTTCTTAAAAAG